TGTAAAAGTAGACTTAAATAATGAAATTTAAATTGCATCTATATTATCCGGAAAATGTACACCGTCACTTCATTGGTTTGGAGAATGTGAGATTAATTGGAGAGAATGAATAAGTACGTGCGTAGATCCTATTTAATATGAGGAAAATATAGATTAAACATTTATTTTCAAACAGTAATTAATAGAAAAAAGATTTTGCCGTAACATATACATATGACAAATTCAGATTTAGTTACATTTTTCATATTTTATCTGATAGTTTATAAATTAAGTAAAATCGTTGATAATTTATAGAAAACTAGATTTGGAGCTAGTTTGATCACTACAAACAGTGGCGTATTAAGTGAATCATTAACAAAATGTCATCAATTTCAGTACTCCGTCGCGAAATACTATAATTGTTTAATGATATAATGAAAATAACATTGCTTGTTCCCGGAAATAACCCTCGCCTCGACCAGTTTCAACTCATCAGATTCGTTTTTGTTTTCTATCCCTCTCTTACGTCGGTCCAAAGCGTTGCTCTTTCTCTCCGATTTGCCTATATTAACCAGAACTTGCTCTCTCCGAAATGTCAAAGGTGACGGCGTTCTCCGCTCCGAGGCGTCGCGACGCCCCGACAAATATACCGAATAAACATTCTCAACGAATTTGGTATACGCGACTAGCATGATACATCCAATGGAACAACACATTTTATTTAAGACTATATCTACACTGTTGTCATTATCCACAGTATTAATTATCCATAGCGTACAGTAATTTAAAGAATAATGCATAGATGAATATTATTTAATTAATTACTTTAGAATTTATTTGTACATAAATAATCCATAAAAGAAAATGAACATAAAATCAAGATAATCGTTTCAGCCAATATCCCGGACTGTTTTAACCGAACTAATCGAGAAACATACATACAAAAAAAAACAAAAAGAGACGACAATTTATGTATAAAAAATAATTTGTGTACGCATTTTATAGAATTTATTTTTATTTTGCTCAATTAAAATTTAGTTTTTCTTTTCTTTTTTGTAATTGTGAATCGAAGCCGCACTATGCGAAATATTATTATATATTGTTGTTATAACAAGTGATAAGAACCTCGCTGTTGATGGTTATTTACTATGAAGACTAAATATATTTAGATACTATTATTGCTAGTACTACAGAATATCGAAATCCAATTAAAAGTTTATCGACAGTTACAGTTTTTTAACGTGTTATTAATAAATGCGATGTCAGGAATGTTGTATTGGAAATAATAAATCTTTTTAAGTTGTTGAAAACGAGAAGTTTGGATAGTTCAGAAAGGGAATGCCAAGAGTTCGTTCCGATGAATCTCAGAATTTCCGCGGAACGAGGGGAATGTTTCTCAATGGGCAGCACAATTTCTTTAAATGGCTTCGATGAAATAATTTCATAAAATAGTTGGATTTAATATTTTAAAAAGTATTTTTCCATTAAATCAGTTATTTAATTATGTTTAAACTCGTTGACCTTTTGCATGTTAATGCTTTATTAATTAATCATGATGTATAATCAGCAAATACAGGGACAGCAGGCACGGTTTTATTTTACTCATAAAACTCGTACATTTCTGGTTTTATCGATACATGTGTACATGAATTAATTGGACAAACCACAAGGACAGTACAAACATGTTCGATTATTTTATGCTTGGGGAAGGTTCGATCCACTGCAATTCCATTTGCTTCAATTACGAAAAATAATATATTTTTGTTGTTTATTAATTTAGTAAAACATGAATATTATAACATAATATGTTTATTTATAAAAGTAATTATCAGCCATTATTATTTAAATTCTAGTAGATAGAACATTCAATAGTATCCTTCTATAGAAGATTTACTTATAAAAGTTCAGAAAATGGTTGTCGTTACCTGATAACGAAGCTTTGATTTAATCAAATCCGCAATTTCAAGCAAAATATAGCCAGGAGAGCAGATATCTAGTAAATTATAAATGTTGTAAATTATATAAATTATAAATATTGAGTCAATAGATTTCAAAAATGTCCATGTAATTAAAATGCAGAAAATGATAGTTTTTCAGTGAAAAAATTAGGAAACCTTGTTAGCAATGAAGTAAAAAAATGAAGGTGAAATTAAAGAAGTTCCTGTGGAAAAAAAATGTTAAAAAGAAAAAAAATCTGAAAATGCTTGAATGACATTGAAAACGTTTTATGTTTGTTTATTAAAATGATCCTAAATCATGATCATTAACTCTAAATAATCAGTGTTCAATGTAATAAAACCGTATAGGCAATTATTAAATGAAAGTAAAAGAAAATATGATTATCAATATATAAGTTAAATGATTATTTAAGAATTTTTAATAGTCTATTGTTTTCTGGGAGATTGTAGTTTTGCTGTTTACTTTTCAATTAAGTTGGAAATTTCATTTTAACTCTCTTGTCGGTATTTGGGTGGTGATTATTAACATACATAGATTTCAATTGGAATCGATGAAGAATTTCATTATTGGAGTTCCTTATTGAATAATTCAATACATTGGTTTGGCTATTCAACTACGGTTTTCAATTAGTTTTATTTTTTGTTATTGTGTTTAGTTTATATTATGATTGTTGCAATAAATATTATTATTTTTATTTCAAAATAAACATTTGTGAAATTTAAGATTCCATCATAACTATCATTGATTGCATATAAAGAAAAACATAATACTTATATAATATCTACTGACCGTAGTGCTTTCGTCAATGTCAAATTTTACAGAATAAAGTAAATTAATTTTTAATATTTTTCTAATATAAATACTTCTTGTGGTATTTTATGAATAATGTTAATATGTAATAATAATTATATATGAGAAATGGACACTAAAGAAATGTAATTTGTGAAATAATTAAGTTCAATTATTATAGTTATTATAAAATACATTATGACTAATAAATTACTAAAAATATATAGCAATAATCGTATGTTGTTTTTATTCATAGTCGCAATCTGAATAAGTCTTTTACTTAATATTTGAAACAATATCAAATGATTGGCTTAATTTAATTAAACTTAAATTAATTTAAACTTTTTTTTTTTTCATTTGATCTGGTTAAATGTTCTACTTTTGTTAAAATGTACCTAATTACTAATTTAAAAATAATAATGTTTATTTTAACAACAATAAAATTATTATAAATAATTGAAAACATTTGTAATTATTAATATGTTCCAATCTATTACTATTTAAATATGTTTTTGAGACCATTATTATTTGAATGTGTCTTGCCATTTGATAAGATTTCACCAAATTACCAACGTTTTATCAAAACGCATGGCAATCTAATCTAATTACATATGGAAACCTTGGTGACGAATCTACTTTAATCCTTTTATTTAGATTTTTCTCATTCTGCGATAAAAGTATTCAGAAAATAAATGAACTTCTTTTTTCTCTGACATACTATCTAATAAATATTATCACTTGAATATAAGATACCTAAGGGAAATTTCAGAGCAACAAAACATAGAATCATTGACACTACAGTAATATACTTTTGATGTCTTTGGCACAGTTTATTCTAGTGCGATTGATGAAATCGAAGAAAATTTGTTTCCTAAAACATCTTGGAAGTAGGAACTATTTTGATTGTTTTATTTAATACTTAATTTAATCCGATTACGCAAGTACCAATTTTGATACCCGATATTTTACTCCTTTGTCAGTTAACTAAAGAATTTATTGAGATATCTCATTTGTAAAGTCAGGAAAACTTTCTATAGTTGTTTATTAATTCAAATAAATAATATCTCAAAAATGTTGAAAGTAGATAAAAAATTATTTAAGTATTATATGAAACTAAAATGTAGCAATAAAATATACATTATTGTAATAATGCAATATCTAAACACGTTGAATACTTCAACGCGTAATATCTCCCTCTATCCAGCCCAACGTTCGTTTTTGTTTGGAAGTCGTAGTGAATTTATGTGTAGAAGCTTTGATTTAGTTTCATGTTGCAATATTAATATCTTTAAAAGTCTGAAAGAACAAACAGTTCCATCTTTAACTTATTCTTGCTCTTTCAATTCAAATTTCTCTTTCAAATCGCAAAATAGGAACTAGACATACACCGGGAAAACAAATATAATCCACGATTAGTAAATAGATATTACTAAGTACGTTTTTTTAATAATACGTAGATAAGATTAGTATTTGTAAAAGCTTTGTTTTCGTTATTGTGGTATTCGTAATAAAAGAATAACCTTCAGAACGGCTTGTTGCTTTAGGTGAACTAATTTAATTACCATTAGATTCAGTCATATTGGTATCAAACAACACCATTAATTCGGTTTAACTTAACTTAATTTGGTGTACTTTTTTTTTCTCTGAAGTTAAATGATGGAAAAGCTCGGATTGACCGAATCTAGGTAAGCAAAAAAAAATTTGCCCCCTCATCCGGCATATGCCAATTTTAATATTGAATGCGGCCTCTTAACCCCTGACCTAAAGCATCGTGATTCACGTTGTCTGCGTCTGAATTGGCTTCTTTACTTCTACCCAAATATAATTAGCGAAAGGTTGATTTGCTTTTGTCCCTCATGGATTACCTTCGCTGAATTGCAATGATATTAATTAATCCGTATAATTACACTCGTTATTGTTATTGTTTGTTTTGTTTTCTGTTCACACTCTAATGAAAGCGTCGAGTGGGCGAGCGCACAGCAAACACACGCGATAATATTCTAATAATCGCGCTTTTATCTAATCAAAAAGTTTCGTTATTAAAATATTCCGGTAAGTTCGGCGTTTCCTATACTTCATACGTCTACGTTTTATCTCCGCTCTTGTTGTTGCCGTTGTTGTTATTTATGTTGTTACTGTTATTGTTGTTCCACTTTCGCTTATGGATTTTGTTGCTTTCTTCCAATAATATCCATTTTTTCCACACCAAACCAAGGTACGATGTTCTGTTCTCGATCAATATTTGGTGGTTCGGATGCTCTCGGCCACAGTCGTGTCTTGTTTGGAACCTTGGCCGCAACTCGTCCGAGCCTCGGATCCGCTCAGACCGACGACGGGCGTCGAGCGTGCCCCCATGTCACTCTTCAAATAAGAAAACATAAAAAACTAATAAAAAATCTGACAATTTTCTTGAATGGGACAACATCTTCTCACCATCGTTACTTCAAATGTAAGTCGCTTTTTTCTTGTATTTTACACCACTCGTGTATCCACATCTGATGCAATGATTTAATAGTGTACACTTTGTTGTTCATAAAATTTAATTGCCGGTCGATTTTATACAAAATCCGATAGTTTCTTCAATAAAGAATGTTTTTCACAAGAATGTACTTACATTGATAAAAAATATAAAATCCAGATGAAGTAAGTTAGAAATAACTATTAATTTATTGACTGAATCAGTGTTTTGTCATCGTAAATTCCGAATTTTTTAACTTTTAATTTGAATAACATATTTATTGTATGTAATTTTTAAGAACAAAAAATGATTACTTATAATTCTTGTAATAGTCAATTAATGCAATAAAATAATTAATAAAAAATATCTTAAATAGTTGTCGACAAAGTATACAAATTAAATGTATAACATATTTTGTCTCAGGTTATTTGATATATAAATAATTTAATAAATTGCTTAATTTTGATGATAATTACAAAAAATCTAATTTAATTATATGTAAGTTTATAACTACACTACTATTATTTAATAACTAGTGAAGTTTATAATTATATTAAATGAATGCAAATTTTTTTGTTATCATTCAAGAATTATTGTTATTAATATACATCTAATTATTCATAAAAAAAACATATTACATTTTATATTCAAGTAATAACTTTAATTTAACTTAACAGAATATTTAACTCGTAATACAAAAAAAATACTTAAAGTAATTGAATAATCGCTTATTTTTTTTTGTAATTATTGAACAAACAATTAAAATGTAATTTACTGCTATTATTATTTAACAAACAGAAGTCGCTCTTATAGATTATAACGGAACATAAAAGCATTTTCAATTAACTGGCGATTGATTGATTACTCATCAACAAGATCTTGTTTACCATCAATAAAATAGTTAATCATAGAATATTTAATTAGTATTTTAAATGTGTGCACCGTTTGATTATTATGTATTAAACTTACATAATAGAGCCATATTTTGCATAGTCCAACTTCGGTAAGACCGCATTCATTATAGTCAGGTAACAAAATTACAAAAAAAAACAAAATATTAATGAAGTAAAATAAAAAAATAGTACACCAAATTATTTTATTATACATAATTGCCTTTTTTCTTCTACATAGTCAAGTCTCTTTATATGCGATTTATGTATTAGATCCTCGATTAATCTAGTTTTATAGTAGTATTTAAATAAATTGGGCAGAAAGACTAAGGTTTATCTAGAATTAGGGCTAATAAAAAATGTAAATAAAATATATAATATGTGTATTAGTAATCTTTCAAAAAGTGCGTCTATACACCGAAAGTGTTAGTTATTCATAAATAGTAAACATTTATATTATTAGTAAACTAATTACGTTCGTATGTAATCTACCTCAATGTGTATTTTAGAATTAATTCTTCATCGCAAAAGCGATAACTTTTAATAAATACATTTCCATTGAATGTGTTGTTTTCTGCGTTTATTTAGAATAATAGACATTATTTTTTTCTGCTCAGCAAATTGGAAGTGGTGCAATAATCATTAATTGTATTTACAGTTAAATTTATCTAAATTGGTTTCTGTTACATTTAATTATTTTATCAAAACTAAAATCTTTAATAAACTGTAAAATATCAAACTTTTGTTGGATTCAATTATCGGAGTTAAATAAATTGAAGAAAAGAAGAAAGTTGTTAAAGGTTTAACATTTATATACTATAAGTAAACATTTTAATATAAATTTTGATGAAATTACAATAGCAGATCAATATTGAATTCCATTAAGTAAATTAATTAGTGATTAAGATTCAATGAAATTTACTACCAGATTAATTGTGTAGAGTTAAAATACATATTATATAATTTAAACTTAATTTTGAATGATTTTGATACAAAAAAAATCAAATTATTTTTAGCGTTTCATTCATTGAGTCATGAAGCTGTAATTCAATAAGTTTACATTTAATGATTCCAGTCTTTGTATCATATTTCATAGATAAATATGAGATAACCTTTTCGATTTAATTCTTAGAGTTGGAGTTAGTATACGTTGTGTTTGTCATCATATGTATAATTAATATAACATGATATATTATTTACTTATTTTACATAGTTAATTGTATTTTTTCCTTTGTTGAGAATTATTAGAAGTATATCTGGAATTTTTGCCGCGTACATAAATTTAGAAGTTTAGTCACCCACTATCTTTATTTTTCCTGATACTCGCGGATTTACAAAACATATATTTTGTTATATCAGTTTCAATTCAAATGTAATTGATTAAATAATTTGACGTATTTACATCCAATGAGATTTTAAAACGTGTATCGATATATATTCTTTGTTTTGTTGCTTTCAATATTTTGTCTCATATAAAATAAAAATAAGTTAATAAAATTCTTACTTGGAAATATAATACTCATTGATAAATATTTATTCAAATCTAGTTTACATACAGTAAATGTTTATTTTATATAGAACGCAATAGAAGTTCTGACTATAACGTTCAAATTACATGTTTATCGGATTTTGCTTTAACCCAATTATTATGTTTTCTCTGGAATTGTATTATTGATGACATAATTTCATTATTTATTTATTAGAGTCCGCCATGCTGAAATTGATAATCCTTTATACAATATAATTTATTTTACATATTTGTGGATTAATTAATTAATAGCATTTTACCTTTATTTATATCGTAATTACAATAATGCTACTGAAATATCGATTATCGATACAAACAAAAAATAAATTGAGAATGGTTTGATGATTAAAACAGTTATATTTGTATACAACGTTGAGCGAAATTTGTTGAGCACCTGTGGCACTCTTTGAACTCATCACATTAATGTCTCTTGGGACTAGACCACTAGTGATAGTGAAGGTAGTTTTCTTAAGATCTGAACAATGCAACTAACTAGACCTAAACACTTTTATTGTTTTGCATTTGAATATATACTATTAGACCGAAATTTCAACTACAAAGTGTAGTAGATTTATTTTATTTATATGTTCATATCGTTTGCGGATAATTATTTTTTTTAATTTGAATAGTTACATAATACAATTATTTATAGGATTTAATGTGTAATTAACAATGGAAACAAATCTGTTGACGTGCAGCAATTAGAATTTGGAGTTTGGACTAGACCTGTAATGAGTCAGCAATTTAATGACTGTATATACGATAGAATGGGATAGATAATATAGAAGCACGTTGCATGTTAGGTCTGTAAAATGATTGGTGTTTCTAATTTGAGACCAAAATGAGAGAGAGTAAGACTTGTATTCACGGCTTCAAAGTGAACCTCCACCTTTTGACATTCCAATAATTAATATAATGAGATTATTGCGGAGGGTTTTCAGGGCAAAGTGCGGGGGCGAGGGCAGCACGAGGTTCTTTATGAATGTCATTTGATAGTGTGGCTTTAACAGGCTTTATCGCACCCACGCATATTTAATGCCGACTGGAAAAGGGGGTTGCGATACGTTCCACCATTTGATGCCGGGCGCAAAATGTCCTTCTGTTCATGCGGTATTAACACTCAAACTATGCACAAGCACCATTCAAAACGCCGATAGATTGCATCCAGTTTACAGTCAACCCACTTTCGGAACAACTGAAATACAATAAACAGTTGTTATTGAAAACCGAAAAGGCAAACATCTTCCCATACCCCGCGCATCCACCAACAAGTCTTCTGTATACAAATTGATCCTGGCAATTTTGTATTTCCGAGAAATTTTCCTATTATACCCATTGCGTAGTCGTGATGTGATAGACGTTTCATCGAGATCAGCGGCCCACGCCCTTTCGTAAAAGGGAAAGCGTGGGTCGGAATTTCTCGGAAAGCTGATATCTGTTCAACTTTTAATTGTTAACCAAAATAAAATGTTGCTGAAAATTGTCTGTCATTTTTTTTTGTATTTGTATCGCATTGAAAAAAATATACAGCACGTGTTGCGTTCGCGTCCGTGCGTCATCGCCTCTGGAAATATTTCTAAAACCACTTCTTTTTATTTATGTTGCAAATATATCCTCCATCTCTCGCATAATTAAACTCCGTTTACACAGCAACCATTCGAGCAACAGCACGCAAAAAAACGCACAATGTTTATACAAACACTTTCTTCTTACTGAAAGAAGCGTGTTATTTATGCAACATGTGCCAACTACTTAATCCCGAAGTAATTGCGTCCTAAAGTATTTCTCTCTTTTCAGTCGTTCTCGTTTCTGCATGTGGTAGGATGGTGAGATAGGAAATGCTGGTCGGGCTTATCGCGGGCTGATGATATTGGGGTCCGTATTCCAGAAGCAGCCTCAAGATGTTGATAAAGGAGTATCGGATCCCACTGCCACTGACTGTGGAAGAATACCGTATCGCCCAACTTTACATGATTGCGGTAAGTGCAGATCCATTGGAGTTGTATTGGTTGTAATTAATGCGTCTGACGTTCATTTTATTGTTTGTTGCAGAAGAAAAGCAGGGATGAAAGCAGTGGACAAGGAAGTGGAGTTGAAATTTTAATAAACGAGCCCTACGGAGACGGTCCTGGCGGCAGTGGCCAGTATACGCGGAAGATTTATCACGTCGGCAGCCATCTGCCAGGTAAAATTAATTTAATTAAATTAATTAACGAAGGATTCTTTATTTCTTTTCACTTACTCATCTTAATCGAGTATTCGATTTACTCTCTATAAATCTGACACTTCTATATTTCCAACTTGTTTATTTTTTAGAATATTCTTTCATATTACATTTTTCTCTGTTAATGGTTGTTACGAAATCAATAACTATTCCGCAATTTTGTATCAATCTGTTATATATAACAAAAACTAAAATTATCTTGTTTAATCCTTTCGAGACTACTGGTACATATATGTATCGGTTTTAAGTCAGAACTAATGGTATTTTATAAGGTTATATTTGGTTTATTTGGTACCGCCATTTTTTAAATATAAAAATATTAAAAAAAATCTAAAAAGGTGTTCCTACGGCCTCTAAAAAAATTGTCGCGAAAAAGTTAAGGAAAATGCAATTTTGCTAGAAATTTTAATACATTTTTATTTTATTATGAAATTATTAAGCTGTCAGCATATTAGATTAAATAGATAACAAAAAATGTAATGTTTGTGAATAAACATGTAAACGAATTACTCAAAGTTAAATGTAATAAATAGATGTCAAATTGGAATATTTTTTGATTTTATGAATTAAATTTACATTTTCTTTATTTTTATTAACACAGAATATCTAATCTAATGTAATTGTTATTGGGATTTTTGCCACCTTTATTTGCAAAAATAGACTAAAGTGATCAGAAGATTTATTATTATATTTATTACCATTTTAATATATTTTATAATTGAATTGGGTTGTTCAAATAGGATGGTTCAAGGGAATTTTACCAAAAAATGCATTGGTTGCGGAAGAGGAAGCCTGGAATGCATACCCTTACACAAAGACCAGATACACCTGTCCATTCGTCGAAAAGTTCTCATTGGAAATAGAGACGTACTATTTCGCAGACAATGGTCACCAAGAGAACGTTTTCAAATTGTCTGGAAGCGATTTGCGAAATCGCGTAGTGGATTTAATAGACGTGGCCAAAGATCAACTTTACGGAGGTGATTATCTAAAGGAAGAAGATCCAACGGTTTACGTCTCCGAGAAGACTGGCAGGGGACCGTTGGCGGAGAATTGGCTTGCGGAATGTTGGCGAGAGGTCAGGAATCTGAAAGCTTCAAACTTTTTCAATTACTAATGCCATCTTTCGTTACTTTAGGTTGAGGGTAAAAGCCAGCCGACGCCCAGCGGAAAGAGTCTAATGTGCGCGTACAAATTGTGTAAAGTCGAGTTTAGGTACTGGGGCATGCAAACGAAAATTGAACGATTCATTCACGACGTCGGTATGCAATCAACTGCTGTATTTATTTCCAATTTGCTATTGTAAATTGTGTTTCTGTTATAGCACTGAGGAAAACTATGTTAAGGGCTCACCGGCAAGCCTGGGCTTGGCAGGACGAATGGCACGGTTTAACCATGGAAGATATTAGAGAAATCGAGAAACAGACACAGATGGCTTTGAAAAGAAAAATGGGCCAGCTGGAAGATGAAGATTTAGGTAGCGATTAGACGCATTTGAAGAAATGTGCTGTAATTCAATTTGCTTCCAGATGAAGATAATAACATAAGCAATGGGACTCATAAAACGTTAGCTGCAACTCTGGGTAGTATCGAGAAGAAAGAAGACTCACCTCTGATGACAAAAAGTGCCAGCAGAAACATTCCTACTATAGAAACGGGTGGTTCGGACGAAGATTTATCTGGAGACGAGTGTAATCTCCATTTACCCCTTCGAAAGTAAATAACCTCCGTAACCTTAAAATTCGTTCGGACTTTTATATATTATTGTATCACAATTTTAGACATGGCGATCAATGGCAGCAATCACGAGCGCTTCATTCGCCAAGCAGTTCTTCCGCAAAGAGTTTTGATCAGGTAGCAAATTGGAGAATTGCGAGTTTAGGAAGAAATTCGGAATCCGGCTCCGACGAGGAATTCTACGACTGCGAAGTGGAACAAACCACCGAAACGTCCTCTTCGTCTTTGGCCAAGTGGAGTTCTTTAGATTTGCTAACGGAAGAAGATCCAGAAAACTCGTCTCCAACAGTTGTAGTCGACGAAGATGACAGTATTTTCTCGCCAACATTTTTACAGCGAGTTGCCAGTGAGAGAGGGACCAGAAAGGGATTGCAAAAGGGGAAGGGTAATTCGCTGGACGTTCCTTGTCCCGATTCACCTGGAGCTTCCCCATGCCACACTACTTGCAGTACTACAGTTTTGCTGCTCGTTTTTCATGCCGGTAGCGTACTCGACGCCAACGTTGATATGACAGCAAAAAAATCGGACGTAACAACATTCCGCGGTGCATTTGAATCGGTCATGAGGCAGCATTATCCGACTCTGGTTGGGCACATTGCCATCAAATTGGTTTCCTGTCCTTCCATTTGCACAGAGGGATTAGGTATTCTGTCTAGGTAATCAGAGCGGGTCCATCATATAATTTAGTTATTTCATTGAAATTTATGTTCCAGTTTGAGCCCTTACAGTTTTGATGTTTCCCCATCATGCACAGATGTTCCCCAAGTGACGCATGACTCAATACCCATTGGCGCTATTCCTTTGTTGGCTTGCTCAAACCCTGAATACAATGACTGTGTGTCGAGGACAATCAACGGTGCCAACATGGTATATCAAGGTATGGTATAATACCCAACATTTATTGAATTTACTAATTATTGTTCATTTTAGAATTTCTAAAATCTGAAGAAGGTCATGGGTTCTCAGGTCAGATCTGTATCGTTGGTGACTCTGTTGGATCCATATTGGCATTCGACGCACTTTCTAGAACTACTAGATATCAGTCACGACATGGAAGCGAAAATAGTATTTTGGATCAAGATGGAAATCAAAAAGGTATTAAATCAGGTACTTTTAAATAAAATGAATTGGTTACTTAATCAATATATTTATGATCTAGTTTATAATATTGTAAGGCGTTGAGCTTCATTTAGTTTCTTTATAATTTAAATTGAATATTGAGAATTTATACTAATATTAATAATAACTATTTATTCTAAATAAATTTGAAATTATACTTGGTTGATGAATCCAGTATAATTTCAATTGATTAATATTTACCAACATTTTCGATCTCTGATTATATTTGCATATTTTGATAGGCGATGATAATATGATCATAAATGAATCTGGACATTTGGTGGCACCTTCTCCGAGACGAAGATCATCTTCAACTAGTGAACAATCGAATCAGATAAAATTCGATTTTGATATTACCGATTTCTTCATGTTTGGAAGTCCTCTAGCTCTAGTGCTCGCCTATCGAAAGATATCATCAAGTGATGATAAAAACTGTAAGTCCATTACTTGTTATATTGTTTATTTTATTTATTTATTTGTGGCTTTTTGATTTTTTTCAGCTGCAATAACCCGTCCATGTTGTCTTCAAGTATACAATCTATTCCATCCCACCGATCCGGTGGCGTCCAGACTGGAACCTCTCCTCTCAGCCAGGTTCTCAATGCTCGCACCCGTGAACATCGCCAGGTACGCCAAGTATCCGTTGGGCAACGGCCAGCCCTATCACCTGTGTAAGTGCTTTATATCAAAAGCTTTTCGTTATGCTTTATATCAAATGCCTCATTAACCGACTCTACTAACGCTTTAAAGTGGAAATCCTGCAAAGTAATCCGCAAATGTTTAACGAAAGTGGGCAGCCAAGAAGGCTGTCGGAGGTTTCCATTCAAAGCACTGTGTCCGGGATCATAGATAACATTCCTCTCCAGGCCATCAATGCTTGTAAGTCTTGGCTTTAACCATCGGAAAACTCGAATCATTACTTCGTCGTGTGCTTGGGTTTACCAATTAACCTGAACGCTTTGATTTGCAGTGCAGCAGAAATGGTGGGGTGGAAAACGGTTGGATTACGCCCTATACTGTCCCGAGGGTCTTTCAAATTTTCCCACTCACGCTCTACCTCACCTGTTGCATGCCAGTTATTGGGAGAGCAGCGATGTCATCGCATTCATACTAAGACAGGTTGGAAGATTAGAAGGCCTACCTTTATCTGGTAATGAGGATAGGGAGCCGAGCTTCCATCCAGGTCAACCTAGGGAGAAGTGGATTAGAAAACGCACTTCGGTCAAGTTGAAGAACGTGTCGGCGAATCACCGAGCGAACGATGTAATCGTTAGTGACGGATCGAGTCAGTGTCTTATTGGCAGATTCATGTACGGGCCTTTGGATATGATCACTTTGACCGGTGAAAAAGTAGATATTCACGTAATGCGCGATGTGCCATCCGGGGAGTGGACGCATTTGACAACCGAGGTCACCGACAAGGCGGGACGAGTTACATATACAATTCCCGATGACAAGACTCTCGGTTACGGTTTGTATCCGGTGAAAATGGTCGTCCGAGGAGATCACACTGCTGTCGATTTCTTCATGGCTGTTGTTCCACCTAGAACGGAATGCGTGGTTTTCAGTATTGACGGATCATTTACTGCCAGTATGTCTGTCACCGGAAGGGATCCCAAAGTTAGAGCGGGCGCAGTCGATGTGGTCAGGCACTGGCAGGAGCTTGGTTATCTGATCATTTATACAACAGGAAGGCCGGACATGCAACACCATCGCGTCGTTTCCTGGTTGTCACAGCACAATTTCCCACATGGCCTAGTTTCTTTTGCCGATGGCTTATCTACTGATCCACTCGGACATAAAGCGGCTTATCTTAATAATTTAATAGAGGTAATACTCCGTATAAATTATATATACGAAATAAGATTGTGGAATTTTTCAGAAGCACGGCGTTGTCGTGTACTCCGCTTATGGGAGCAGTAAGGACATCAGCGTATATACCTCGCTGGGTCTAAAACAGAAGCAAATTTTCATTGTTGGTAAGGTATCCAAGAAGCATCACTCGCAGGCCACGATCCTGACCGAAGGATACGCTGCTCATTTGGCCAGTTTGATGGTGTATGGTGGATCCAGACCGGCCCAGGGAAATGCTCGAATGGTGATTCCTAGAGGATACTTTGGATTGCCTGGCCAAGGTGTCACCCGCAGGCGAAGGTAAACGTTCCACCTATTATTTTCCACCGATGTGTTAGTGCATCTACTAATCATAGTTTAATTCGGATAGTTGGTTTTCTAATTTTATATTTGTTGTTTTTTGTTGTTGTTATCGTTTAATTTATTTCGTTTTTGATTTATTTGTGATTAATCTGAGCTGGGGCTTCCATTTCCTCTTACTTGAAGAGGGTGTTTATCTACTATTTTGTGTGCATGTGATATGGTGCCAATGTTTCAGCCATGACACGGGCATCTCGTCGCCGTCTCGGAACAGCGGCTTTCTCAAACGCAAGGTTTACATTAGTCATGTGTAGCGCTAGAATTTACATACTGGTAACTATTTCCTCATTAACAGAACATATCCACAACCGCCACCCCTCTCAACCAGACACAATATATGATTATCTAATCTTAGCACTGCATGTACCTGTTTAACAAGAGACATGTACTTGTCAAGTATCTCGTAGTATGTAGACATACTATTTATAATTCCGTTGCCTGTATACTTGATACTTTATTTAAGACAAATAATACTTTTGTAACTGTAACTGCTATGGAGTGAATTGATGATTATTTTTCATGTTTACAATTGCAAGTTACTTGACAAGAAACTCGTAGTTAGTAGCGTGCTTACCTTATCGTTATTTAAATTATTTTGATTCCTATTATTTCTTTTTATTTGCACTTCATATATTATTTTAGTTCAAATATAGAGCCAGTTGCAAAAGTGATTGTTTCTAATTAATATATACTATAAAATATATATAGTACTTTAATGAGTAACTTATAACTATCTTAAATAAACATTCAGTGGACGCGTTTTGAAAATCAGATATAACTCATATTCTTTTATTAAAATTTAAGGCACGTCCTCTAAAAGGTAAAATGATGTAAGGAAAATCCATTAAAAAGACTTTAATACAAAAACATAATTTATGAATCGCGAATATTTTGAAAAAATGTTTGTGCTTATAGCGATTACAGATGCAATTTTTATGTATTATTCACGAAAATTTTATTTTACAATTAGATGTTTTCTAATTTTTCATATAGGTTTTACTTATACCGGCCGAATGTCTGGAACCTTAATTCTATACGAGTTGGACTGGGCATTTCTCGAAAGTGAATATTAGTAAAAATGTTAATTAATTATTAACAGTGATATATTCTGATAATAAAATAAACTATTTGTGATCATAAAATCAAGCACTTTTATAGATAAAATACTAAACTATAAATCCTTACTTAACCATTTGACCACACAGTCCTATAATTTAAAAATATATAAAAAAAATCGACGATATATTGATAGTTTCGTTATAAAGATAACATATTTAGATTGCTATTACCTGTTTTATTTGAATGTATTTTATCTCTTACCTTTTATTATTATATAATTAAATTAAATCGTGAAATTTAGTTGCTATATTATGCAGTCTGCTAATGAAATAATTATATTCGACCTTGGTTTCATTTATGGATTCTGTAATAATAACCGAAGAAAATCTTGATAAGAAAATCTTTATTTCTCGGTGTGGAATTACTAGACAAAATTGTATATTAATTGAGAAGCCTATTTAAATTCATGTATATTTCATACATTGTTAATCGCATTATTTTTTTTATTCAAAGTCAATGTTAGAATTAACCAGTCATTAGTCAATAGTTTTTTTTGTTATTTTAGATATAACAATAAAAACTCTATAATGAAGAAAAATATCCTAATATATTCTATAAGTAAACCAGCGAGAAATAGTGCTGTTTTCTTTATTATTTCATTTGATATTTTTTTTTATCAGATGTTAAGTTTTTTAGTTTATCAAGTTTCTTGTTAGGGAACGGATATGTTCTTTATGTTAAGTCAATCTATTCACAAGTTATTGATTTATATTACTAATTGAATTCAGCAGTATCTTATCATCTTTGATTTGCAATTTAGCAAAATAAAGCGATTTTTTAAAGTCCTGGTTTCAAACAGTTATCCGCTCTGTGTAAGTTATTGTTGTAGTTATAGTCATTGCAAAGGTGTAAAATATTTTAAAATTACAAATGGTCTAATGATAATTGGTTAGCTATTAATGCTAATCACTTTTGCAATTGGTTATGTATTATTTAATATAATGTTATATATTTTAGTCTATGTTTACTTTATAAAATTGCACCTGTAATATATATACTAGTAATTAGTGCTTTAAGCTTTAGTTATAATTTAGTCTATTTAATATATGTCTATATGTATATTTAACACAATGTGAAATGTCAAATATTCATTGCTCTTATTTTCTTAAAATTTTAGCAGTAGAACTGCAAAGAGAACTACTTCCTTCCCTATAAACTCGGCGGCCGAAGCAAATCCAGTTATCGAAAGGAGCCTAAGCACTAGAAGATATAACCTGCCAAAGCCAACATTGTCTACCATTGGTAACCACACGGCTGGATGACGGTGATACGCTGTGATGCGTATTTTTAAAGAGTTTAGGCGAAATTAAATTATTGTGTGTACCTTGCCACTATTATATATTTTTCTACAATATCATCAGTCAGATAGAATGATACAGATGAGATGGATCGTGGAGGACAGGTTTAATCATAAATATGTACGTGTGTAATGGATGTTTAATATTAAGATGTTGAATTTCTCAAGTGGGTTTCGATACCCCAAAATGATGGAAAAAATGCGGAATGATGCACTAGTAAGCAAAAAGAGTACAAAAGGTATTAACGAGTTTTCGCTCGAATATTATTTAGAAAGAGTACAATTGCTATAAAATTATTGCTACTTTTTCACCAAAAAAAAATGGTTTGCTAGTATTAATCGAGGTGTTTAAATGATTTTTTTGTTCGTTCCGATATCTAGTTGGCATAGTTGTATATAAAAGTGGGCTGGATGATTATTATCTCAAAAGGTTAGCAAGCATGATTATTTTTTAACTCAATAGGAGTTTACATGAAACTGATTTCGTATAAGAACAAGTGGGTTTATTTTAGCGATTTAGGGTATCGTTAGCTCAAGTTGTCAGTTCCGTTTAATTCGTGTATCAGAGATGTTTTCGTTGTTTGGAAAACTAAGAGTCTGATTTAACAATGGGGAAACTTGGTTTCCGTCTTTGCTTTCTTATTGTTAAAGTGTTAAATGTGTATATAATTATATATATATATATATATATATTTA